AGTTTGGGAACTCACCACTTCAGACCCAGTGCGTTTGAATGGGTGTTCATGTGTTCGTTTGATTGGGTTCTGTATCTTTTTCTTATATCGGAGGCCCGCAGCAAGCCAACTTGTTGCATAATATCTTGCGAAGGACTTGAGCGATGCCTTTTTTATCATGGCTCGGTCTAAACGAAGAAGCTGCTCTAAACCTTCGATCGTAAGCCCTCAGTGCTGTAAATCCTTGACTCTCAGGCGCTATAGGTTAAGTCCTCAACCCGGACCCAGAACAACTTGAATTCTGAAACTTAAATACCCCCAAGCCTCAAACCCTCAACCACAACCCCGCCAGCCCTGAACAAGAACTCGCGGGTTGTATTCTTGGGTTGCAGCTCTATGGTCCCTCACGCGGAAAGCTTCGGCATCCCTTTTGGGCCATCGTACCGATCCCTCGGGCCTCTTTGCAACACTTTGGCCGTTTAGGATTTAGGGGATTTATAGGGTTTAGGCGGGTTTAGGGTTGAGGGTTTCCCGGACTCTGGATTCTTGGGGTTGGGGATTGTGCGATGTGTGATTTTGTAGTCTGGGGTGTTACTTGGTGCTCCCGCTTTTTGTCTGGGCTTGGTTCTCCCGCCACACTTTTTGTCTGGGCTTTTCGCTTTAGTATTGCCTTGATTGTTCAACATATCAGTTCCTTGGACTTTGTGTGCGAATGGGTGTAAGAGTGACTATGAGTATGATAAGGGTTCCTGGGACTTGAACAAAGAACCCTATGAAGGTAAGCTTTTCAGGGTTCCCTAAACCCTAAACCCTAGACCCTAAACCCTAACCCTAAACCCTAAACCAAAGAGGCCGGAGGGCTTCGTCACTGATGCGATTTCTGTACTTCTAGTAAAGGCAGCTGCCTCTGTGCTCATCGCGTTAGAGGCTTCGTTAATCTCCGCTACTACACCCAAAACCCGACACCCCTAAACTCGAAATCCCCTACACCCTACATTGAAAATCTCGAACCCTATAAATTCAAAGCTCCGTAGCTGCCTCCTCCGTTTCGCAGATTGGGGGTGTCTCCTGCGTAAGAGGACTTTGTCAGAGGCCTCCGCAAAGCAAAAATGGAGCTGCTGCCATGGGGGGGGGGTGCATATTTAGCTGTTTTAGGCTGATCGAGTGTACATACTTCGGTGTAGGTTCGGGGAGTTGTGCAGTTTCGGACCTACGCGCAAGACTTTGCAATGTTTGTCCTGGGCATTTCAAATTACGATTCGCACTCCGTTTTGCAATCCCTCGCTATCTCTGTTTTTTTTTCAGGAGTGTTCCCAGTAGTATTCATTTTGCAGCAGCTCTGTTTTGGCGTGCCCGTGAAAACTTCCTGAACTATAGGAACATGCAAGAACCCTTTCCTTGCTTCCCGGTGTGCAAACTTGTGAGGTTGAGCTCAGAATTGGCGTGCAACAGCTTTCGAAGCCCCATCGGCACGAAAACCCTGCCTGCTGCCGCCGCAAACCTTACCTGTATGTCCACGTACCGATACTGTGGTCTTTATGTTACTCTTTCTATGTGGGTAACTTAATTGAACAATCCCCAAGCCTCTAAACCCGTTGAGCCTTCTATCAAACCCTCCAAAACCTTACACCCTATACCCTGACTGAGCCCCAAATCTACATACCCTAACCCCAGAGGCCCCTAAACCCTACACCCTGAAGCCCAATTAAGCCCGTTGATCCCTAAACCGTACACCTTCTAAAACCCCTACAGATATCCCTAAACCCTTAATCCCTATGAACCCTACGGCCCCTAAATCCCTAAACCCATAAACCAGGGTTTAGGGTTCAGGGTTTAGGGTGCGGCTCTCCGCAGGATGCACCGCGATCGCCCAAGCGATCCTGGAAACTTCGACCTTAGAACACGTGGACTTGGCAGCGACTCGGAGCGTTCCATTAAGGGCTGAGGGTTTGTATAGGGTTTCGGGTTTAGGGGTTTATAGGGTTAAGGGCTTAGAGGGTTTATAGGGTTTGGAGGGTTTATACGGTTTTTTACTGCTTAGGGTTCTTTGAAGGGTTGCTTCGAGGTTTCTTTCAAGGGCTGCGGGGGGGGGGGGGGGGGTCTTTGGAGGCAGGGATTCCTTCAGTCCGTTTGTCAGGCTCCTGAGGCTTCTCAAAAGCTTCTTGCAAAAGGTTCCTATACTCCTTCAAGGGTTGATGTTGGGGCCTTAATAATTAAAGCAGGGTTTTGGGGCTTCTTATTAGAAAATATAGTATAATATACCCCAAACCCTATTCTAATCATAAAGGCCCTTATATCAGGGGCATCCTATTTAGGGTTCCTGTACGAGTTCTTTGGGGTTTGGGGTTCCTGTGCAAACAAGAGAGCACCTTCTGGGATCTGATGGTTAGGTCGGACCGTAGAGGGGTACTATGGGGTCTTACTAACTAGTCGGGGTCTATATTACTATGAATATAATAAGGAACCCACAAAAAAGATTTATTCTACTTATTAAAGCCCCTACATGAGACTCCCCAGGATGCTGCGTGTGATTTTATTTTGATCTTACTTCACAAAACAAAATATGCCTGGTGCAGAGGGGAACCCTAAACCCGGAGCCTTATCTATGTGTGTATGTGGGTAGTTAAAGTAATTAGGGTCCCAGCAATCGTACAGCGCCCTTATGTAAAGACCCCGAAAAGGGACCCGACTTTAGAGAACTACCCATATGTCTTTTTTGTGCTGCTGAGGCCAACGACATCAGCTTGACAGGCCATGTTGGATTGAGATTTGGGTTTAGGGTCTTGAGTTTAGAATTTATGGCGCTTCTGGCCAGTCCGCCTAAAGGTCTTTGTATATCCCTACTGCAGCTCCCGAAGGACTTGGATGGCAGCATAAGGTTGCAAAATAGAAAAGCCGCCCACCTGTCGATGTTGAGCTTCGTGTTTTTGTTTGCCTGCTGCTTCTTAGTTTAGGGTTTAAGGTTTAGGGTTTAGGGTTTAGGGTTTAGGGTTTAGCTGTTCCGAGTTTCGAGGGTCGGGTTTCGGGCGATGCTGGAATGAGGAGTTGCGGTTTAGTCAGGAAGCTACAAAATCTGAGTGGCTCGAGAGGACTGTGCCTTAGGGTCTTGGGTGCCCTGCAAAACCGTAGCCGTTGGGCATCGAATTTTGGAAGGTGCTCTTTGCATGTTTTAAATTTTTTCCGAACCTACACCAGGGTCCAGGGTTCGCTTAGGTTCTGGACGACTTTTGTAGGGACTTGACGAAGACGGCGACGGGGAAGAAAAGACGGCGGGCAAGGCTTCATCGCGAGCTATCGGTCCGACAGTGATCTGCCTAGACGACCAGGCAGCTGGGCAGCTTCTGCAAAACAAACCGGAAAAGGCATGCCTGTCTGGTGCGGGACAGCATGGGCATCCAGAAGCCAATAGTCGTGTTTGGAATGGCCAGGGGTCACCGGGGCACGACGCTGCGGAGGGAGCGGCAGCCAAGAAACACAAGGTGCCGCGATTGGAGCTGTCAAAATGGTTTGTGAAGCCTGTGCCATTGCTTGCTTGTCGTGGCAGAGAGGCGACCAAACTGCCGCATAACACCCTCCTTGACTTGGCACCGTCGAGACGCGTGCCACGGAAGTCTAGTCGCTTGGCTTAAATCCTGGCTGCAATGTTGGCAAACCGACGCGTGGACATGCAGTGGGTGACGCGCGTGACTTCCGGCGGCCCCATGCAAGGGCTATTCGATGCGGCCAGCGCAAAGCCCAGGCGGGGTGAAGAGCATGTGGACTTGCAACAGTTGAAGTCAAGCTCAAACTTGAGAAGGCATCCGCGAAATCAAGCTCCCACCGGCGTGCGACCCTGCTTACCGTCGAGTGGCCTGGAGGGGGAACAATGCAGAGGAATGCTCATCTGATGTTGTTGTTGCCAAGACCTGCCGAACATCCAACGCACCAACGCCGAGCTCTCGATCGCCTATTCAAGGAGGCAGGAAATGGGAGCGAGTGACCACTTGCCAGCAAGTGCCGCCTTCTGCGAGCTACCGCAGGCTGCAGCGGCCTCGGAGCTGCACTACCAAGCCGAGAGCAAGGGCGTGCTCCCGCACCCCGCGGCTTGCTGCCTAAGCAGCATGTGGAGGCCGAGGTGAAGCGTTTAGCAGGGCTGCGCGTCAGGCTCCTGAAACTGATCCAGGCTGCAGTCATTCCGGACACCGAGTTCCACCCACTCGCCCGCAGCACGCGCCGACCGCAAAGCGAACCCAGCAAGTTCTTCGGTCGGCGCGGCCAGCACGCTGCTCCGCCATGCTGGTACCGAGCGGGACACGTGCAGCGCGCGGAGTGAGTGCCCTATCTTCCAAGCAAATTTGCAACTCTACGGCTCTGATACGGAGGACCTCCTCCGCGCCATGTTGCGCGAGGGTCCCTTCACCCCTCAGAGCCGCGTCGCCAGCCTGAATGTCCTGAACAGTGTCGACTGTGTGCTCGAGAGTCAAATTTTGCAATGGCCTCTAGTTTGGATGACACTTTCGCGTGAGGAATGTGTTTTTCCCGATGCGGACAATTACAATCATTACGGGTAGACAGCTAGCTGTGTTGATTTGATGTTTCTTCGATGGCCTTCCCTAAACCCTAAACCTGTGTGTGATTAGACAAACAGACGACTTCAGAAGCGGAAAACGACTGTCCGAGTCTGGGGATTTTGGGGTTCAGGGTTTACCTGGAACTCTACTTGCCTACAGTTTCTGTGGGTTCTACCTACTAGTTAAGGGTTGAGGGTTTAGGGTTTCAGGTTTATGGGTTATACCTATAGGTAAAGAGAGTTACAGGCAGGGTTCAGGGCTTCCGGTCTAGAGTTATCGGTAAAGGATATTTGGAACGTCACAGGAGGTGTGCAAAATCTTCTAAACACTAAGCCGTTATAAACCCTAAACCTTAGTAAACCTTAAACACTAAACCCTAGTTAACCCTAAATCCTAAACCCCATAAACCCCCAACCCCCTAAACCCTGCGCCCTACGCCCCGAGCCGTAAGCCTTCCATGCTGGTGCACAGGGGCCAATGCCATCTTTGTGGCTATGCTTGGGAACAGCCCCTTGGCTTGAGACTGCGCTGTTTTTGTTTGGCTTGGGGGTTTGGGTTTATAAGTTTAGGGTTTTAGGGTTTTTGGGGTTGTGGTTTGGGGTCAGGGTAAGGGTTGTTCAACGGTTTCAGCCCTCCGAAACTCTCAGGCTTCGAAGCTTCCCAACCGAATAGGTGAATAGGTACCTGAACAGCTAGTGGGCACTTCTGTAAAACTTCGAGTCCCTTTTAGGGTCCATTTCTATATGGGGTGCCAAACTATCTTGGGGACCTACAAAGGGGACCCTAAAACTGAGAACTACCCAGTGAAGATGCTCCGGTTATGGTCCCTTCGTGACTCACATATTCCCACGGCCTACGTCTAATGATTGAATGTCTTGGTCTTGATGATTTTTTTGAGCTGGAGCTGCCAGATAGGGGTGCCTCAGGTAAGCCTTGAACACGCCTGCACCATATCGAAGCCAATCCTGATTTGGAGAGCTATCTGACATGTTGGCCGTAGTATTTGTAGTATATCATACCCCAATATCATACCCCAAAGCCGGATTCGATTTCTTCAGGCCCCCTGCGAATTATTTACCTACAGTTTAGCAGCCATTATCCCTTGATCAGTAGGAAGACTGAAACCCTGAACATAGGTAATTGGAGTCCCAGGAGGGCCCTCCGAGTCCCCAACCCATCTGCATAGTAATGTAAGGGCCTTCATGGTTAGAATAGGGTTTGGGGGGAGGTATATTCTACTTCAAGTATAATAAGGAGATCCCAAAACCCTATTCTAATTATCAACCCTAAGCCCTAAACCCTACATTCTCTAAGGCTCCGTGAACTCCTTGGATCTCTCGTCGAAGCCCAGCTGCGTCCGAAATCGGATCGTCCTCAAGGCGGGTGCTGGAGATGTTCAGGGCTTTGGGGGTCTAGGGCTCCAATGTAGGCTGTGTCGGGTTTTCCCGAGATTTGGCATGTTGGGGTTTAGGCTATGGCTTTTTTTGCTTTTCAATGTCACTGCAGTTTTACAGGGATTTCCTGAAGGTTTTGTGTAGAGTTGTTTACAGGGCTTCCGGGGTTTTTGTTTGGGTCAGACTAATTAGCGGCTTTTCGAGGTTTATGGGTTTGCGTAGAGGTTCGTGGGGGGCTCTTGAGTGGTTTTGCATGTTGGATTTTGGAATTAATATAGGGGCCTAAATAATCACTGATAGTTTGGGGGATTCCTTACTATCATTATGTCATAGTATACCTGGAAACCCTATTCATTCTTAAGGCCCCTACATTAGGGGCATAGGCCAGTCCTTGTATGCCCTAAACCCTAAACCCTAAACCCTGGTCCCTGAGATTCCAGTATCCGGGCGCAGGAGCCCAGGGCACTGCTGATGGACATGGTCCTGGTTTACTTGAAAGTAGTATAGGGGCCTCAATAATTACCTATACTACTTTTTGGGGGTTCCTTGTTACAAGTATAGTATAACGGGCCCGAAAACCCTATTCAAATTATCAAGGCCCCTATATATGAAACTCAGGAAGACCGTTTCGGTCTTGATAAGGGCAATGCAGAATTTGCCCATCAAGCAGTACTGTGCTTTTTGTTTAGAGTTCAGCGTGTGGACGTTAGTGCACACGGCTCCTTTCTGTTAGGATCTAAAGTTCAGGGGCAACGACTCTCGGAGCGAGGTGTAGGGTTTAGGGTTTGGCGTCCAGACACATGCTACCGTCAGTACTATACCGTACTGTGAACCGGGCCCGAAGTGTGTGGGAGTAGGGTTTAGGATGTCGGGTGTAGGGTGTAGGGATATGGACCAGTGTACCCAAACTCAGCATCCTACCCAGTAGCCTTCAAGCTCTAAGCCCTATGCAGCGGCAGAGGCACATGCAGCGCCCCTGGAGGCTACTTACTTCTGGGTTCTTGCCTTGCGGGATTCGGGGGTCTCGTGTTTCAGGCCCTATAGAGCGAGTTCCAGCAAGTTGGAACATGGGTTCAGTATGATCACTGCTTGGATTCCCTACACTTTATTTACCTATCACGATCAAGCTGTTGGCTTCCACTTTGCAAAGGCTTCGAGCTTTTACCATAGCTTCGTTGCTCCTTGTGGATTTGGTCTGCTTGCAGAAGCCCTTATCGAGGGACAGTGTTTCTTCTCCTCGGTTACTTCCAAAGAAGCTGCCCCTAAACCCTAAGCCCAAAGAAACTGCTTCAGGGTTTACATTCAGGGCTGCTTTTCTCGGAGGAGGAGTTCATTCTTGGGCTGCAGTCTGAAAGCAAGAGGTCAGAAAGGCTGCTAGTGCCACTTCTTAGCATTTTCCACAAGCCTAAAATTCTCTAAGCCCCAAAGGTGCCCTGCTTCTAAACTAATAATATTATTTCGTACTTTCTTGTATTGGGATCACACCCTTCAAGGCTCCAGCTGATGCTTTGGGTTCTGCATCAACAGCGGTATAATTGCAAGGCAACTCTTGGTTTTCCATGATCTAGTCAATACCTACAGCCTTTTCTACTCTCAGCCCAAAGCTCAAATCCCGAACCCTAAACCGTTTTCAACAGGCCCTAGACTAGACCCTGAAGTGTAAAGCAACACAGAATGCCGACAGGTTTCATTGCTTTCTTTAGGGCTTATTGTTTAGGGTTTTTTGCCTGCGCAGCATTCTACAGAGTCCTGGGAACACAGTAGTTCAGTAGCTCTCTGGAGCTACTGGTAAAACTTGCTGGGAGGCTTTCTTAACGCGACACTTCCACGTAACATAATTGTCCCTAGATCCCCGATTCGACACTGATCCCTGTAACCCGGCTTAGGAACCTACTTAGTAAGAAGGAGCGTGCAAGCATGCCCTGTGTCATCGATTCGACTGCTTGGAGGAGATGTTGATCCACAATAAGTCTCTGAAGCATCTCAACGTGGCGGGCACAAGCCTGGGTCATGAGGTGGGCAACACGAGAGTTTGTTTCCCTGCTTATCCGTGGGGAAATCATGTGAAGTAGGTGTTCTTCGATTGTTTTGGCGAGTGAGGATATCAATTTTTGTCAGATGAAAGGTTCTGTTGGCCTTAGTCATATTTGCTTTGGGGTTTAGGGTCCTGCTTGCTATCTTAATGCCTTCCTCCAAATATTGAAGGGCCCCTTCTCTCAAAAAGCGACGATTTCCTTCTACGCGAAATATGTTTGAGTAGGGCTCCATCGTCCCTAAACCCTAAACCCTAAACCGTTTGCATTGCCAAGTGCTCCTTTCAAGGCTCTTCATTCTGCAGTCCGCAGACCCTGCAATCCCAGTTCCTGGCCCGAAAACCTACGATTCTAAGCCTTAGGCCTTAGGCCCTAAGCACCAAACCCTATAAATCCTCAGCCTAAAACCCCCTAAACCTTGAAGACCCCAAAATCCTAAACCCTAAAACCCTAATACCCTGAACCCCAAACCTTGAAGATCTCACAATCCTAAACCCTAAAACCCTAATACCCTGAACTCCAAAGCCTGAGCTTTACACGCTGAGTTCCAGCCTTGGCCAGGGGCTACAAGTCCTCGCCCGCGGACTGATGGGAAACACGTGCCTGCTTACTCTGGACCGCGCATTGTGGGTCTTTGTAGGTGCTTCAGGGTTCAGGTTTGGGGGTTAAGTTTAGGGTTTAGGGTTTAGGGTTTCGGGTTTCGGGTTTAGGGTTCAGGGTTCAGGGTTCAGGGTTTAGGGTTTAGGGTTTAGGGTTTAGGGTTTAGGGTTCAGATTTGGAGGGCTCAGCGTTGAGGTTTCCAGAGCTTGAAGAGTTGCCGTGTGTTTTTGTTGTTTGCTTCTTTGTTTTCGCATTCCTTGTAAAGCCAAGCCACAGGGCAACGCGAACCCTTGTTCTTGAAATGCCCGGAAAAGAGTTGCATGGCTTTGGGATTTTGTCTGTTCTGGGGCGTGATCCTATAGCCCAAACCGGCCAGACTTTGTGTGCGGTTCGCAGGACATTTCGCAGAACAGTGCGGGCAACAAGGGCGCCTCATACATTGCAGAGGTCCTCAAGGCACGGCCCCAAGAATTTCAACACCTCCCACATGGCTAGTTGTCAAACTTATGGTCCCTTTTGGGGTACCCTAAATAATAGGTGCCGTATTGAAATAAAGACCCAAAAGGAGACCATAATTGTGACAACCACCCACATAGCAGATGCATACAAGCCTGAGCCATTCGACTGTAAACGTTGTGAGTAGAAATGGAAGTTGAGTTACAAGATCCACGACTTGAGTCGATAGAGCCAGCTTGTGATCCCTTAGCTAGGAATTCCGAAATCCTGGTTTCTTGTCCTAAACCCTAAACCCTAAAAATCCTAGCTTCCTGTCTTGAACCTTAAAACCTAAACCCTAAACCCTAAAGATCCTGGTTTCCTGTCCTAAACCTTAAAACCTAAACCCTAAACCCTAAACACTGGTTGCCTGTCCTGCTTCTCTCAGGTCTGCGCGCTGGAGGAACTTTCCCTGTCGGAGAACCGCATAGGAGCCACCAATCCCTGCCAAGACTGGTGCAAAGTTCTTAGCTTGCGGGATTCCTATTCAGACTGATGTGGGGCCTTACTAATTAGACTAGGGTTTTGGGGCCCATAACACTATACTGAAAATAAGGAACCCCCCAAAATAGTGTAGGTAATTATTTAGGCTCTTATATTACGTTGCCGGGATTCAGATTAGCGTGCGGGACCTTCGCCGAGAAGGGGCAGGTACTTTAGCTGAGACTGAAGTTTTGAGCTGTCGACTGAATCAAAGGGCACTCTGTAGGTAATGGGATAATTGGTTAGGTACATACGTGTGCAAATAATATCTATATATATATATATATTATGCTAGACAGATGTGCTGTCCATCTGCGCATGCATAGACATATATATATATATATATATTCATTCTGTATGTATACACACACATATACACGGATTTTGAAACGACACAGGAGATGAGGGCATGATCTGCCTGGGTTCGGCACTGGGGGCTTTGCCAAACCGCCTCGATGGCGCCGGGACCCCCGAGATGCACCGCAGGTGGTTTAGGGCTTGTATGGGTTTTTGGGCAGGGAACAAATAGTCCCTTTTGCGGAGTTCAAGGTATAGCAGGTTGTGCTTGATTGGAGGTGAGCAAAAGATAAAACGTCAAGGGTTGAGGGATAGGGTTGGAGGTTCAGGATCTGTACCCTAAACCCTACACCCTAAACCCCTAAACCCTAAACCGGGGTAGGGTTTGAGGTTCAGAATCTGTACTTACTGGTCAGGATGCAGCCAAAGGGCTTGGGCTGAATGACCAGGGGTAGAAAATGCATCAACAATTAGGAATGTAGACCCTAAGCACCTAAACCCTAAAGGTGCCTTAAGATTCTACCGGGGGTCTTGAATCTGATTGAGGGCATATTCCTTCATCCATTCCTTACTTTCGGATGTGTCGAAGTCTCGGGGCGTGAGGATTCGAAGGTTTCAGTATATCCGGGGCATATGAGGCTAACCGTATTTTTGAGGATCTGATTATAGAATTTGTCTGAGCAGCTTGGGGTCTTCGCATATTGCTTCATGACACTCTTCTTCCAGCGGGTGCGCAAGAGCTTGTCGGTTAATTCGGCTTGGCTGCTCGAGCAACTGACTCAAGTTCGCTGAGCTGTAATTACTGTCTAGTGTTTCTTCGTTCATGCCGGGGTGCCTCTGAGCTCACAACATGTGTGTTGCAGCGCCAGAACTTGAAACGCTTGATGACGTGACTTTGTCGTGAAGCGTTCTATTTCGATTCAACTTCGGCATCGAGGGGGGGAGCTCCCTAAACCCGAAACCCTGCCTATAGTCTTCATTGAGGTTCCTTGCATATGTGTAGCGTGACGGGTCCCATACGATATAGCAATAGCAAGGTAGCCGAGAAATGGGACTACTGTTATACCCATAGGCCCCATAGTAGTTCCTTTCTGGGACTACCTTATAGGATTCTAAATATGAACCCCAAAAAGGAACTACTATATGGGGCCTATGGGTAGAGCCATGCAACCTAAACCCCCAAAACCCTAAACCCTAAACCCCCAAAACCCTATAAACCCTAAACCCTAAACCCCAAACCCTAAACCCTAAACCCCCAAAACCCTAGGGCCTATGGGTAGGTAAGCCTCCCAGACTCCACGCGCTCCACAAGCCCGCTCTGTCGATTCTCGACACCGCCTCTGCCCTGAACCATACGCATAGGCCCCATAGTAGTTCCTTTTTGGGATTCCCTAATATTTAGGGTTTAGGGGTTTAGGGGTTTAGGGTTTAGGGTTTAGGGTTTAGGCCACAAAAAATAACTACTATGGGGTCTATGGGTACATGCAGCGAGTCTTGAGACGAAGCCTAGAACCTGAAGTCGAAACATACTTTGTTTTAGGCTTTCAGGTTTGTTTTGGGTTCAGGTTCCAGTTTAGTTTAGGGTTTATAGGGCTTAGTATTTAGGATTTGATGGTCATAAGGTCCATAAGAAAGCTACTGTCGAGCCCATTGCGAGGCCGAGACGAATCCTGTGCATCTCTGTCTGCACTTGGGGGCTCGTGAGATCGTTCGGTTGCGATTCCGGGTTTAGGGTGTAGGGCTTTGGGTTTAGGAAAGCCACTCATAGACTTGCCGTCGAGGAGACGACCTGGCCGCAACTTAGTGCGTGTATTGTTGTGTGGAAGCACACCGTTTTCTTTCCCCTCCTCTCCCTCTCCCCCTCCCTCTCCCTCTCCCTCTCCCTCTCCCTCTCCCCCTCTCTCTCCCTCTCTCTCTCCCCCTCTCCCTCCCTCC